CGAATGCGTTTTTGTTGAGTCATTACGTTGTGATTAGAGGGATGGACGACAGTCACATCGTTATATCATAATATTATGTAATACATATTATAATAGTTCCGTTTACCCGTGATATTGTGATAATCACCATTGTATTATTATTTTTCTGATACTTTAATTATGCTTGTTAATTCGTAGATTCTAATTAACATTCATTTAAGGTAAATATTTCATTGAGTTTGGTTCTATTATTAAAATGTAAATGTTGAGTTTGTTGACCTTTATTGTTTACGTGTTGGTAATAACTAATATTTTATTGTATATCCTTTAAGTATTTCCAAAGAATCTAAATCTATTAATACTAATATACTGTGGTTCACTTTATTTCACTAATAAGTAATAACTAATATATAAATATATTCACTTTGGTTTTATAATTATTGATATTTCTTAAAACAAAATCTTTTGGCTAAAATTTAGTGTCAATTTTGTAAATTTAAACGTGTTTCCTATAGGTTAACCAAAAATAATTATTATTTCAACAATATTCCTAGTTTAATTTTAGATTCTGAGCGGAGCGATGAATGTATTGGTTTTTTTAAACTTAATATTAATATGAACCATTGTAATTATGATAGTCCACAAATCTTGCTGTTATCTGACGTCTTTTGTTCGTATACCTACGTAACTGTCTGCTGTAAAAAATGCCATAAAACCTTTTTTTTCTATTAATCAATATAATATATTAAACATTTTACTATAATATAATATAGTATATTACAATATTACAAAGTTTCTAAAATATTATTTAAATATTGTTTATTTGGATATCCTTTATATTGTATAAGATAAGGTTATTATAATCTTGTTATATATAATATGGCCTTGTTATTTTAAAGACTTTTTTTTGCGATGCACGAATTTTGATGAATTCTGTCTGAACTATAAGAAAAAAAAATTAGGAGTATTTGAATTACATTGAAACCTTGACAATGTTTCATATTATATTCATTTAATGGCCATTGGATCGAGGACAGCTAGGTCTACTATAAGCGAATTAATGACAGATTACTATCCGATTACTGTACAAGTTGACGACATCGTGTACTTTGGTTAACTTATACGTAGCCGGATCTGTAATTAAAACATTATAAAAGCCGTGTTCTAATAAAAATATACGATTAGTTATACTTCATAGTATTTATAAATCAACCTGTTGCGTATTATCGGTATCTTTTGTTTCTATCACATACAGTGACACAAGTTAAATCCTTAATAATTGAGTAAGTCGTTAATAAAAACGACAAATATTAAAGTAACATTTATTCAAGTGCTTAAGTCTTGATTTTTCATTCGATAATAATATTTACATTGGAAGAATATAATGTAGAGTTGGTACTTATGAATTTATGATTATCGGATCATTCGAGTCCATATTAAAACGGAATATGTAATGGATATTAACAGTGCATTTCGTTGTGAATTTGACAGTGTACAAATTAATACTTATTTTTACTCAAAAACATTTATCTTATTTTATGAAACCATATAATATATTATGTTTATAAGTCTATCTATATGTTCAAGAATTTATGGAAGTATATGTATACGTATGTAATATGTATATGCCTATAGCGATAATTTATTGTTCAATGATGTTGATATCAATATGTATAATGTATATAACTACTTCTCGAATAAATACTTGAATTTGAAGGTAGTTTTTAATTTTATGGCTTGTTGACTTCTATTAAGATGACATCCCAAGAAATATAATACTATGCATACTTGCATAGTACTTATAATTCTTATTTCATCATCATAAAATCTTTAAGCAGCACAATGACCCAAAATTGCCTGCGAACATATTGTATACTAGAAAAATTAAATTTACTCTTGTAATAATAATACATCACAATAATTATGTAGATCATAAATATATTATGTATTTTTTAAAAATAAATTTCATTTCATTTCATATTATAGGTATAAATGACTAAATGAGTACTGGGTCCCACTGAGAGGACCCGTGTAGGGGCCTAGGATTTCAAAATATAATTAGGTACATAAAAATAACAGATACATAACTAAAGTTGAAATTCTAAAAATAAACGAGCACATTATCTAATGTTCAACTAAAATTAGCTATGTATGGTACCTACTATCATATCTTCTGATTTTTATATTATTATAATCGTAAAACTGATTTTATATTTCGAATTAAATTTCGCATATTTTATGTTATTTAAATTACTAGATTACTTTATAAACAATGAACCCTGTTGAATATAAATTGTTAAATATTTATATTTTACGAGATTTCTTGTTCGCTATACACTGTTCATCATATCTAAATAAGGAAACACAATGTTCCACTATTCCTTTACTTCCTATACCTAAGGCCGGGGCTATACACGGCGTATTCCGCCGCGTTTCGAACGCCGCGTATTCCGCAGCGTTTTCCGTCGAATTAAAAACGCATTGGTTTAAATCGGAGCAGCTATACACGACGGGCGTAATACGCCGCGTTTTCCTCCGTGGCGGAAAACGCAAGCCGACCGGCGTTTTTTGCCGCCGCGGAAAACGCGGCGTATTACGCCCGTCGTGTATAGCTGCTCCGATTTAAACCAATGCGTTTTTAATTCGACGGAAAACGCCGAGGAAAACGATGCGGAATACGCGGCGTTCAAAACGCGGCGGAATACGCCGTGTATAGCCCCAGCCTAACTAAGAATTTAAAATAATTAAAATACCTCCAAGTAATAATTAAATATGCTATTTCATTTACATCAAATATGCAATTAAATATTTTCTGTTTTTATATAAACTTGTTATGTCCCTAAACATTATTTGTATGCACATAGGTCCGGTTTTGTATAGCATTTTTATATACGTTAAACACATTTTACACCTACTCATAGGTGGGTTTTAATAAGTGGGATTGGGGTGGTTAATTCCCCCTGAATGTTTTGTCAACACTTAATATTTAAAGATTTAAAATATCAATATGAACATTTGAGTATTGTTTATTATTAATTTCTTGACTTTATATACATTTTGTGTACCTATACATATTCCGGGTGCAAAATCTGGGAATTAATAGTTGATAAGACCTGTCTAATTTTAATCCCCAAAAAACACATTTGACCAAATAAACATACCTATATACATTAAAAAGTAACTATATAGTACATATTATAACGAATTATACTACACATTTTACTGAAATTAATTTTATATTTATATACTGTTGGAAGGTAATATATTATGTTCTATCAGTTCTTAAATTCATATTCATAATGAGTATAGATTTCTTATAATGTTGGTTGACTACCAATGTGTTCTGTATTTTACGGTAGTCAGTGGGATGAAGAAATTGCATTCAACATACCCTGTACTTACCTATATTCAACGATTTCAAAAATGATTATCTTTTTAAACTCTACAAGTAAAACTAAATGGGTATTATAACACCATAATTTATTCATAACATGGTTTTAATTTTATTATTAGTATTAAACATACTTGTTTCATGTGTAGTTTCCATAGGTAACTCTTTCACAAGTCAAATAACCCATATACCATTGAACAAAAATAATTAATTTTTTTAAATGTCATCAAATTCAAATATCTACAATTTTAGCACGAGGTAGTCAAAGATTTTAACGCTCGATAACTTATACCAAATAATATAAAATATTAACAGTCGCTATATTTTATTGAGATATACAAATCAAAATCATTTGGAAACGTAATAATCTACTATTTAGTTAAATATTACATTTTAAATATAATAAATTATTTAAACTTATTATAGATAGGTAGTGTATATAAAAAATAACAAACAATAATGAACTATTTTTACTCTTATATTTTATACATTATGATACATTAATATAATAGTAGTACAGATATATACAGTGTAGTTAAATAATAAGGAATATGGAAGCGTTTTGTATGAGTACATGTGTATTATGGTCACGACCTTTAATAATTTGGCCTTTAGGAATAAAATCGTTTCTTTGTTTACTATACCTACATTTACAAATAAATTAATATTACGTATACATTTCTTACGTCATTATGAACGGTAGTCTGTAGGGAAAGTTTTGTTTGATATATTTTCCTGTTATGAGGAAAACCATTGTTCTTAAAAATAACATTTCCTTAACTTATGTTATTTCAATTTTATAACAATACATTAAGTTTTGTATTAAAACAGTTCAGTTAGTCTAACGTCATTTAAATTATAGATAGGTTATATTTTTCAAGTTTATACTTATGAATAAAATTGTTATGATGCTGTTGCTGTAGAATAACTAATAAAATAAAAGTCGTAAGGACTACAACAGTCTACAGTGTAATTTTATGACTTATTAGTAATAATAATATTGTCTTTATAAGTTCGCACGACTACTATAATGTAGTAGGTAGGTATCACTACCTATATGGAAAAATATTAATTAAAATGTTGTTATTAATTGTTTTTGACAAGTTTCAATTGGGATTTACGACTCGAGCAATTAAAATTGCAATACCAATATCTTCTTCGCCGGAGGCTATACACATTACACAGTATACACTATATTTGTACGAATTCGTATTTTTTAATTTCCTCGAAAACCCACGGACGATTAACGCACACATGCGGTACAATATGTACTCATATCAATTATATATTTATACCTATATAAAGATAGTCGGATGGTATGGTGGCATGTTAATTACTTCGGGTGGCGCATAGCACGCGAGAAAAATCTGTTCTCAAAGCCTCGAGGTTTTTGCCAAACGAGTAGGTATATACTAAATAGGTACACGTGCAAGAAACGGACCTATAATACTAAACGCTACTTGTAATATTATATATTTATATTATAATGTACGTTGCCTTATACGAGTATTAGTCTCGCCGAGTGTCTCTCTGCCCACGTCCGCCTATGTAATAATATTATACCGTCGTCATTCCGGGCGCGCCTCCCCCCCCCCCCGCGGAATGCGATTCCGTTTTTTTCTCGTGCATATTATAATATCGCCGATGACCCGTTCCGGTGGAAAATCATCGGCGGCAGTCGCCGGGTGTAATGCAGTTCCATGTAAGGCGAACCGGCGGCGGCAGCAGTGCAGGACGCCAATCCCGCGTCCCACGGACCATCGCCGCCCACCTCTGTGCGTCGTCCCGCGGTGTGCGACCGGCGTGCGCGCGCGCGAATTCCATTTGGGGCCCGCGCCCCGGTTTGATCATCGTTCATATCGCCACCCGAGTCGCTCGCAAAAACCTGCGCCGGTTTCATTATTGTGAGGGGGGCACCTGGAGGGGAACGCACACGTACGCCCGCCAGCCGCCCCGCGAGATCGCGCGCGCACATGACGCTGCGCGCGACAAAACGTGCGTGTGCGTGTGTCATACGTACAATATATTATATCGTTATACGCGTGTGCAGCGCGTGCATGTGACCAGTGATCGGCGACCCGTTGTCCCGACGATATTATATTATTTAACGTAGGCAGGCTACGTATACGATATCGTTTTTGGCGTTCCGTCAGTCGCAGTGCGGCGAGTGTTTGTTTGTGTGCAGTACATCAGCGATTAGGGACAGGCTCGTGTGCGGCGAGCTCGAGCAAAGAATAATACTCCGATAGCTGTTCAAATTTTGTGTTTTTTTGTTTTCCCATTCGTCCCTCATCCTCCCATTGAAGGACCGTTGCGCAATAAGACGTTAGCGGCGTTAGCGATTGACAAACAGGAGCCGTCCGCAGTACAGCCACCCACGCGCAGCTCCTGCCCGGCGAGACATCATGTCGTACTACAAGGACCGTCTCGGGTTCGACCCAGACGAGCCGACGGCCAACGGCGACGGGACCGCGACAACTGGGACTCCACGCAAGTCGAAACGCGGATACGAGGAGAACCTGAGCAAGTTCAAAGGTTTGTCGCATGTATTTAACAATTCAATCGCCGTAAAATACGCGTGCGCTAGGTATATTATATTATCTATATAGTAGTGACGAATCATCGCTGGTGATATAACATAGGTACCTACACCGATGAGACGTATTTCTGTTCCGAAGCGTTTTTTTTTTTGGCAGCGCGCGAAAACGAGGTCAACCGTGAACGCGAGCGCCGCCGCCGGTCGGTCGGTCGGTCTGTCGTCTGTGCCGGTAGCGGCCGCGCACGACCGATTCCTCCGGTGCGGCCGCTCGCGCGACAGATTTCTTCACGCCACGCTCTCGTCGCACCGCACTCGCCGTCCAAGGCCTGACGGTGAGAATCACCGGGCACACAGACATACTTGTCGGGCGTTTGAAATGTGTCCACGACCCGCGGTGCAAGACGCGTACTATAGTCGGCGTGCAGTCCGTGCGACCTGCCGGTGCCGCCCAGTCAGTGGTCCGTGTCGTGTCGTCGAGTCCGCCGGTTTACGATCGTAATAATATTATAATAATATACATATACGATAATATACCTATATACCTATATTATAATATCAATGACACATTGACACTTTCAATACGAACCGGCACTACGCGAATATAATATCGTGCATTGTTGTCGCAATGCCTCGCGTGGGACGACGCGTTGTAGGCGTAATTTCTCGATGCCTGGAAAACGGCTCGCTGGTCTGTTATTCCGTTTTCTGGACTTATGGAGCAGAATTTCTCTTTTTTCGCTCGTAGGTGTTACACCCGCGCGTCGGAAGAACATTTTTTATCGTTTTACTTAAAATCCATAATAATAATTATTTGTAATTTAGTATAATATCGTATAGGTACCATCTTACGCGGTTAATATCGCAATCGGTTGTAAATTGTAATAATAGCACTTTCTGTTGTGGGGTTCGTTTTGTATTCTAACGCGTGAGATGTTGGGTAACGGCTGCAGTGTGTATATATATTTTAATGTTTGTTTAGGCGCTGTCACTGCGGTGCCTATCAATATACGCGACATATGTCTGTCTTATGATAATTTAAATACAATGCTATACTTATTATATGTGTTTTGTTTCAACTTTAACAAACTCTTATAGACATATAACTGTTCTAATAAGTACATTTTGAGTTTTCACCACAGTATTCTCTATATATAATATATTATATTATGCAATATTTGAATATGTTTAATGTTTATATTGCATATATACCAGCATAGCTTGTGATAAACCATTATAATATATGGTTCCATCTGTATTCGGTTTAACTGCGTATTTAAATAGTTAGCCCCTGACGTGATGAATATATATTTTTTCACATTATAAGACCATATGGAATAGCATATGTTCATTTAGTTTACTCCCCTAACTGATTAATGTACCAACAATGATGTATTTGAATGGTTACTAAAAAATCAACTATAAATTATAACTATGCTTATTACAATTATTGAAATTAAAATGAATTATATTGTTTTTTTTATAATTTATATAAGATTAAGTAGGTACTTAATGAGCTGTTAAAATAAAAAAATTGAATGATAGATTTAGGTATCTATATATCTATACATTTTATTATGAACAACCATTAGTTTTGAAAAAAACTGTACTTTCCCATACTTAGGTATTTGAAGTATATTGAATTTTTAATTTAAAAATACCAATTAAAAATTATTTGCGTTTAGTATGATTACAGTTTGTACATCAAAACTTATTGTACATAATTTGTAGTACAATGAATGACAAAAAGTGTAACCTTGCAGCGATTTAAAAAAATTAAATGTTATTTGAATAATGAAAAATTATAACGTATCGGTATAAATTATTGAAAACGTTTGCCTTCGTAATTTTTTAATAATTGCACATCCAGAAATTACGCCACATAATAATTTTCAATAGGACTTTATTCTGACACGTGATATGTATAATATATTATAGAATAATGGCATGCGGCTATCGCAATGGCATTGTACTCCAATAAGATCTAATAAATTATTTATTCTTAAGGGAAAACATAATTTTCCTTGCACTTTTTATTTATGTAATTCAGATTGACAAAGCCCGGGGTGTGGATAAGAGTAGGCGAATGCAGTGGGCAGGGTCAGTGGTTTTCGACATCAGTGTCGTAGTACACTAATACAACACCTAAAAAGGTATAGGTCAAAATAAAAATAACCAAAATAAAAACCACTCATCGAATACTGGTCATCATCGTGCTTATAGCTTAATATTTTCAATTTATTTCAAGACAATAAAACCAAGACATAAAATAAATGTGACGAAGTCAACAACTTGATGATCAGAATCATTCGTTTTTATTATTATCTAATTATTCACTCGGTTATAATCCTTGCTGATCCATATTAAACCAGTAGTTAAACCATATCAAAATACCAAAAGAAAAATATTTTTTCATTTTAGATCAAGGCATTAAGTTTTAAGCCACAAATTGAAAATAAATAATTTGGTTTTCTCTACATTTCGTTTTCGAATACCTAGTAATCTAGTTATTTGAAAATTATGGATTGTAGAGTATTACATTTTCTACGGTACTCAGAATTGTATTGTTTAATGTACAGACGTTTTGTGTTAAGCCAAAGGGTTTTAATTAAATATTAATTACACCTTCAATAAATAGATAAATATAAAAAAAATATACTGTTCAACTATTATACTGCAGTACTTACCTAATTCATTTTTACTAAGCGTAGTTACTCATTGTATAAACAATAATTCAATATCAGTCGTAGTAGATTTTTATCAGTATAATTGAAAATATTAACTATAGTTTAATCATTGAACATTATAATATAATTTTTTAAAATATTTTTTGTAAAAGTATACTTTATTTTGACCTTTGATAACAAAAAAGTTGTACTTCTTATAGAATTTTTTATGTATTTAATTTTTGTTTTTAGGTAATTTTTAGATAACATATCCATATATATATATAGATATTAAAAATATTTAATTAGTAAGAGAAGAAGCATTATCTATACTAAACATGTTTCTTCAATTATCGGCATTATATTTAGTTCTTTCATCTTATTAACTTATCAATGCACATACCTATATAATATTATATAATGTATATGTAGTTGTGTATGTATACATCAATAGTATTATTTTTGTATTTTATGCACATCTAAAGGCTTTTTTATTAATCATATAATAAAATACTAAAATATAATAAATAATAATTTTGAATATTATAATATTTAAGTGCCTACTTAGAAATAATAGTAAAACTATCATAATGTATTTTTTTTAGGAATGTATCAATGAAGGCACTTAAATAGTATATGTACCAGTATAATATTAATATGCATCTAAATATTATGCAATATTATATATTTATATTATAGGTATTGTATTATACCTTGAGAAAAGTAGACATTAATTTAAGTGGGTATTATTGATTTTTTACTATTCACTATTTTGTTGGGATTAATTTTTTAATATTTCTAAATGATGTTATCACTGAATTGTATGAACTATAAAAAAATGTGATACGTATATTATTTGAATTGTTTATTGTTTATTCGAATTATTTCAACGTACTTAAACGTTTTTTTTTTTATTTGTTCTAATAGAAATTTGTTTAATAACTATTTTTTAAAGATCAGAAGGTACTGTATAGTATTTTTTTTAATTATACCGTTATTGTATTAAAAAATATAATACTTATTTTTTTAAAGGTGTTAATTATTATTCAATGGCTTTGTCCCAAAAAACTGTATGATTTTAAAAATAATTAAGTGATTTATTTATCAGAAGTTAAAGTAAAATCAGAATTAAGAACGAGCAACAAAATAAATATTAAATGTCTAATATTTAAGAAACTACTATTTTTGATTGGTGTCCAGAACTTCTAGGTCCAATTCCAATGCATTAACTACTGCAAACTAAAAAAAATAATTTTGAATAAAATATATGTTTAGCTTCAGAGGATATTAGGAGCTCACTACCTATTTGATTTATTTAAATTGATGGCACTCGCAACTTGGGAAACTAACGTCAGCGTTCAATAGAACTAATGTTGTGTTGTTAGTTTTATTATTTGCGTGAGTTACCAACCTTAATTTAAGAACATTATCCACGTTTTTACGTTGGCTTTTTTATGATATTCCAGTTCTTCAGAGTTTCATAGACATTTTCATATTGTTTTAAAATATTTTATGTGATCAAACGTACAAAAACAGATTACTGTTATGTATTTAAACTATAAGTTTGATTATAGGTCATCTCACTCTAAGTGCCCAAGTACACAAGATTGGTTCTGCTGAACCTATATTTACCATGTTGCGCGTGAATTGGTGCGAGGAAATAAATAGTAGGCTGCTTCCTCTTATGTGGAAATATTAATCTAATATAAATTATTTATATGATATGATATACTATAAACTATATTAATTCAGTATAAACTTTTGTCTTAAATGTATACATTTTTCCATTTATAAATTTTATATCTCATTAAATACTTAACTTAATTACTTTGTGAATGTTTTAATATATTTATTATATAACCACAATACATTTAGTTTTTTATTCAAATTTAGTACCTAAACTGGTGGCCCTTAAAAAAATCATAAGAATACGCCACTAATAGTCGTATAAATGTCAATTATCTTTTAATCTTCATTAAGAGTGGTCATTATTGAGGTCCAGTTAGAATCTTAAACAGTTGAATATTTTATCATTTTTAATACCTACCTGTCCTACCTATATATATATACTGGGTGATTCTTTTATCAAACAACACTCATTATTTCAAAAAGTGTAAATTTTTTGAAAATATTTTTTTACATAGTTTCAAGTCGCTTATAAAACAACGTTTTTATAAAAAAATTATATTTTTTAATATTTTTTATCCTTATAATTTTTTATGTTTTTTTACTTTTTTAAATGACAACATAGGGTTTTAATTTTATATTCTAAAGTAGAATATTTTTCTTAGTATTTTGATACATGAAAATCGAATTTGGGTTGAGTAGTTTAC